AAAAAAAAAAAAAAAAAAAAAAGACCCTGATTTGAGTTCTAACAGGCTGCTGTGTGAGAAGAGAGGAGAGTATTGGAGCTTGGAGGGTTGATTATGGGGGAGAAGGGGATGCATTAAGCCAAGAGAGTAATATTTATACATTTGATACATTTGGCTGAGTGCAGTGGCTCACACCTGTAATCCCAGCACTTTGGGAGACTGAGGCAGGCGGATCGTGAGGTCCGGATTTCAAGACCAGCCTGGCCAACATAGTGAAACTCCGTCTCTACTAAAAAAAAAAAAAAATTAGCTGAGCATGGTGGCGTGTGCCTGTATTTCCAGCTATCCGGGAGGCTGAGACAAGAGAACTGCTTGAACCTGGGAGGTGGAGGTTGCAGGGAGCCGAGATTGGGTCAATGCACTTCAGCTTGGGCAACAGAGTGAGACTTTGTCTCAAAAAAAAAAAATTATACGTTTATTTATTTTCTCTCTTTCTTCTTCTGTTTTGGTAGAGACAGTGTTTCACCATGTTACCCAGGCTGGTCTTAAAACTCCTGGACTCCAGCGATTCTCCTACCTCAGCCTCCCAAAGTGCTGGGATTACAGGCACAGGCCACTGTGCCCAGCCTCAGGATTTCCTTTTATATTTTGAGGTGAAGTCTTGCTCTGACGCCCAGGCTGGAGTGCAGTGGCTTGATCTCGGCTTACTGCAGCCTCTACCTCGTGGGCTCAAGCAATTCTCCCGCCTCAGCCTCCCAAGTAGCTGGGACTACAGGCATGTGCCACTGCGCCCGGCGTGATTTCAGTTCTTTTGAATAAGTGCCCAGAAGTGGGATCGCGGGATCATTTGATAGCTCTATTTTTAATGTGTTGAGGAACCCGCATACTGCTTTCCACAGTGGCTGCAGTGTTTGATGTTTCCACTAGAATTGTAGGAGTCCCTTATTTATTTTGAATATTAATCCCTTATTAGATATGTGGCTTGCAGATATTTTTATTTATTTAAATATGGGGTTTCACCATATTGGTCAGGCTGGTGTCGAACTCCTGACCTCAGGTGATCCACCCACCTCAGCCTCCCAAAGTACTGGGATTACAGGTGTGAGCCACCACGCCTGGCTTACAAATATTTTTCTTATGAAATCTTAAGCTGGGTGCAGTGGCTCACACCTGTAATCCCAGCACTTTGGGAGGCCGAGGTGGGTGGATCGCTCGAGGTCAGGAGTTCCAGACCAGCCTGGCAAATATGGCGAAACTCTGTCTCTACTAAAAATACAAAAACAAATAAGCCAGGCATGATGGCACATGCCTGTAATCTTACTCAGGAGGCTTAAGCAGGAGAATCATTTGAATCAGGGAAGCGGAGGGTGTAGTGAGTGGAGATCATGCCACAGTACGCCAGCCTGGGTTACAGAACCAGACTCCATCTCAAAAAAAAAAAAAAAAAAAGAAATCTTAATTACATAGGGTTGTATCACATGTGTATGTGGTTTAATTTTACATGAGAGCTGGGCACAATGGCTCATGCCTGTAATCCCAACACTTTGGGAGGAGGCTGAGGCAGGAGGATTGCTTGAGCCCAGGAGTTGGAGACCAGCCTGGCCAACATGGTGAAACCCTGTCTCTACTAAAAATACAAAAAGTAGCCAGGTGTGGTGTGCGTACCTATAATCCAGCTACTGGGGAGGCTGAGGCAGGAGAATCCCTTGAACCCAGGAGGTGGAGTTTGGAGTGAGCCGAGATCGTGCCACTGCACTTCAGCCTGGGGGACAGAGTGAGACTCTGTCTCAAACAAACAAACAAACAAACAAAACCAAAAAAACAGTCCTGGCATGGTGGCTGTATTAAAAATATAAAAAATGGCTGGGCTTGGTGGCTCACACCTGTAATCCTAGCACTTTGGGAGGCTGAGGTGGGTGGATCACCTGAGGTCAGGAGTTCAAGACCAGCCTGGCCATCATGGTAAAACCCCATCTTTAAAAAAATAATTTAAAAAAATACATATATAATTAGCTGGGAGTTGTGGTGAGTGCCTGTAATCCCAGCTGCTTGGGAGACTGAGGCAGAGAATTGCTTAAATCTGGGAGGTGGAGGTTGCTGTGAGCCGAGATCGTGCCACTGCACTCCAGCCTGGGCAATAGAGCGAGACTCCATCTCAAAAACAACCCCCCCAAAACAAAAACACCCTCAGCCCCTCATCTCAGGTAGATCACACCACGACAGTGTAACATAGTGATATTACCGGGAGGAGGGTTCAATCCAGTTCCAGCCCTCCACCTCCTGGCTGCGTGACCTTATACGAGTAAATTCACCTCTCTGGATCTCAGTGCCCTTCTGGGATTAATAAGGCCCAGTTTGCACGGTTCTTAGGAAGATTCTTTTGAGACCATGGAGTTAAAACATCCTCAGCACAGGGCAAATAGATTGAGCACTGGAGGGCTTCTGAGGAGTGCCTAAGATGCTGCCCCTACCCTGTCCCGCAGCCCCTACCCCTATTCACAGTGAGGATGCACTCAGAATTTTCTGTAGGATTTTTATTGATGGCACCTGGAGCCACATGGAGGGAGTCCTCAGCACAGGCACTGGGATGTGGGAAATTTCAGAGCCCCCTCCTGGGGTATCATCCTTCAGATGCTCATGATTCAATGTTGAGTTTCTCCTTCACTTTCTGCAGTGTCTCTGAAAACCAGTTCCTGTGGGGAGGAATCAGGAAGGGGTCACTTTCTGCAGCTACCTTCCAGGCTGCCCAGTTTCTGCCTGCTACCTGACTCCCAGTCTTCCCCTTGCTGAATCTCCATCCTGACCGTCTGTGGGATTAGGAGTTAGGAGGACTGCTGGGCTGGGTGGGCCAACTTCTGTGCCTCAGTTTCCCAGATGGACCAACACACATTGAAATCTAAACACTTTACCCTTGGCTGGGCATGGCTCACACCTGTAATCCCAGCACTTTGGGGGGCCGAGGCAGGCAGATCACTTGAGGTCAGGAGTTCGAGACCAACCTGGCCAACATGGTGAAACCCCATCTCTACTAAAAATACAAAAATTAGTGAGGTGTGGTGGCCCACACCTGTAGTCCCAGCTACTCACAAGGCTGAAGCAGGAGAATTGCTTGAACCTGGGAGGTGGAGGTTGCAGTGAGCCAAGATCAGGCCACTGTACTCCAGCCTAGGAGACAGAGTGAGACTCTGCCTCACACACACACAAAAAAAACCAGAAGGAATCATTAGCCGGGCGTGGTGGCCAGCGCCTGTAATTCCAGCTACTCAGGAGGCTGAGGCAGGAGAATCGCTTGAACCCGAGAGGCAGAGGTTGCAGTGAGCTGAGATCGCACCACTGCACTCCAGCCTGGGCAACAAGAGTGAAACTCCATCTCAAAAAAAAAAAAAAGTCACACTTCATCACTTCACCCTGGCCTGGATTTCAATGACTGCCATCTCTTGCTACCAACCCTTTCTTCAAGACTGCCCTTGCCCTAGCTGTTCCCCTACTCATTCAAAGGTACTTTCCAGCCTCACTGCCTATGGCCAGACTGTTCCCCTGCCTGAATTATCACCCCCTCTTGATTATCTTGCCTTAGGACCTTTGGCTCTCCCTCCAGACAATCTTTCTTTCTTTTTATTTTTATTTTTTTTGAGACGGAGTTTCGCTCTTGTTACCCAGGCTGGAGTGCAATGGCGCGATCTCGGCTCACCGCAACCTCCGCATCCTGGGTTCAGGCAATTCTCCTGCCTCAGCCTCCTGAGTAACTGGGATTACAAGCATGCGCCACCATGCCCAGCTGATTTTTTGTATTTTTAGTAGAGACGGGGTTTCACCATGTTGACCAGGATGGTCTCGATCTCTTGACCTCGTGATCCACCCGCCTTGGCCTCCCAAAGTGCTGGGATTACAGGCATGAGCCACCGCGCCCGGCTATTTATTTTTTTTTGAGATGGACTTTCGCTCCGTTGCCCAGGCTGGAGTGCAGTGGCACCATCTTGGCTCATCACAACCACTACCTCATAGGTTCAAGCATTCTCCTGCCTCAGCCTCCGAATTAGCTGGGATTACAGGCATGTGCTACCAAATCTGGTTAATTTTTTGTATTTTTTTAGAAGAGACTGGGTTTCTCCATGTTGGTTAGGCTGGTCTCGAACTCCCGACCTCAGATAATCCACCCACCTCAGCCTCCCAAAGTACCGGGATTATAGGCGTGAGCCACCACGTCAAGCCTAATTTTGTATTTTTAGTAGAAAAGGGGTTTCTCCATGTTGGTTAAACTGGTTTCGAACTCCCAACCTCAGGTGATCCACCTGCCTCGGCCTCCCAAAGTGCTGGGATTACAGGCAAGAGCCACTGTGACCAGCCTCCAAACAATCTTTCTAAGTTTAGGCCCGGCTAGATTTATCTTTCCTTCCTTCCTTTCTCCCCTGCCTTCCTCCTTCCTTCCTTCCTTCCCTCCTACCCTCCGCCCTCCCTTCTCTCCTTCTTTCTTTCCTTTCTTTCTTTCTGGATAGGAGTTGAGGTAACTGTCCCTGAAGTCTGAGCACCTTGAGATCTAGCTGTGTGACCAGAGGGAAGGTGTCATCCTCTCTGGGACTTATTTTTTTTTCAATCTGTTCATCTTGGCCCATCCTCCAGGGCTCCACCCAAACACACCCAGCCCTCCAGTGGGAAGGGTTCTAACCGAGTCTTAGTAGGAATGTCACTCTCTTTGATGCGGCTGAAGAATTCCCGAACCTTGTTCTCCAGGGTATTTCCAAACTCCTTCAGCTTATCCAAGCCACTGGAGGCGTCCACGGCCTCCGGGGCCCCCTGGGCTGGGACTGGGCCTGCCAGGAACATGGGTAGGGGTGCAAATTCTTTACCTCTTTTCTTTTCTTTTTTTTTTTTTTTTTTTTGAGACGGAGTCTCACTCTGTTGCCCAGGCTGGAGTGCAGCATTGCAATCCTTGGCTCATTGGAACCTCCACCTCCCGGATTCAAGCAGTTCTGCTGCCTCAGCCTCCTGAGTAGCTGGGATTACAGGTGTGCCCCACCACGCCCGGCTGATTGTTTTGTATTTTAGCAGAGACGGGGTTTCACCGTGTTGGCCAGGCTGATTTCGAGCTCTTGACCTCAAGTGGTCCGCCCGCCTCGGCCTCCCAAAGTGTTGGGATTACAGGCATGACCCACTGCGCCCGGCCAAAAATTTGTTATTGGAACCCTTTTAGGATAGGATCCCAGGAGATTCCAGGGGATCATGTTGTTAGAATGGGGAGGATTCTGGAGTGACTGGGTGGGGCTCAAGCTGCTGGGAATTGCCTTATTCATCACTGACCCCCCTCCCACAGCCCCCAGCCCCGCTCACCCACTTTCAAGGCTATAGAAGCAGGACAGCCAATCCCAGAGGGGTGGGCGTCAATACGTCATCGGTTGCTAGGGCTCCCCTGGGCAGATTTGGAGCCTGCCGGACTGAGCCCGGGAGAACCTGCAGACCTACCCGACCACAGCGGGGCAACCGCGACCCAGAAGGGGCCCCAGAGCGCTCAGAGGTCCCCTAAGCCGGGGCCCCAGGCCTGTAGCAACCATCACTCTTGCACATCTCCAACTCCCCAATTGTATTCCACTTTTACCTTCCAAGATCATCAACAGAACCACCACCAGGACCGGGAGCGACAGGAAGAGCCTCATGGCGGGGCCGGAGGGGCACTCTGGAGGCAGAGGCAGGGGTGCAGGGGATCAGCGGCACCCTTCCCCCTCCCTCCCTCCCTCCCTCCACGATCCCCTCGTCTCCTCTTTTGAGTACTTGCAGCGGGGAGGCGGGCGTCCCTCCCGGGCAGTGAGCACCAACCTGAATCCTTGCTGGAGGGCTCGGGTGGGAGGTCCCGGCGCCCGCAGGACCTTTATCAGGCTGGGGAGGGGGCGGGGCAGGTGGATGCTGATCTCCCTCCTCCTCCGCCTTCCCCTGGCCGCGTGCCTCCCTCTGCCTACACACGTTTTTCTCCTCTGCCCCTGGCCCGTGGCCGTTGGGGTCAGGTGAGGTCCCAGGCACTTCCCTTAGCCCCAAAGCCTCTTACCGTTCAGCACCCTCACCTCCCAATCTTCCTGACTCTGGGGCGTCCTCAGACTGCCGTTGCCCCTTTCCCCACTCAGAGGGCAGCCTGGTTCTGTGCCTGTGGCCATCTTCCTTCAGGGGGCTCCCAGTAGTAACCCTGTGAGCTCATCCACGCCTCATTCACACCGTGTCCCTAGACCACCTCTTCCCTCCACGTCCCCTCTCTTAGCAAGCCTCCTCAGCCCCAACTTATTTATGTTGCTGGGGTCTCCGGGTTGGCCCCACACTCCTACCCTGAGTGCCACTTCCCATCTCTTTCAGACCAGCCCTTAAAGCCCCCAGACCACTCTCATATCCTCTGGGCTTTTTTTTTTTTTTTTTTTTTGAGACAGAGTTTTGCTCTTGTTGCCTGGGCTGGAGTGCAATGGCATGATCTTGGCTCACTGCAACCTCGGCCTCCTGGGTTCAAGCAGTTCTCCTGCCTCAGCCTCCCAAGTAGCTGCAATGACAGGCATGTGCTACCAGGCCTGGCTAATTTTGTATTTTTAGTAGAGACGGGGTTTCTACTTTTTTTTTTTCTTCTTTTTTCCTTTCTCTTTAATCAAGTAGATGAAGTGAGAAACGGGGTTTCTCCATGTTGGTCAGGCTGGTCTCGAACTCCTGACCTCACGTCATCCACCCACCTTGGCCTCACAAAGTGCTGGGGTTACAGGTATGAGCCACTGCCCCTGGCCTGATTTTGGCTCTTAACTTCATGATTCTCGGTCTCCCTTTTTTGTGAGGGGAAGGGGTTGCCTTAGCTGGATGAAACTGCAAAAACCTCACCTGCTTTGGTCAGGGGTGGTGGCTCATCCCTATAATCCCAGTGGTTTGGGAAGCCAAGGTGGGAGGATTGCGTGAGCCTAGGAGTTCAAGACCAGCCTGAGCAACATAGAGAGACCTCATCTCTACAAAAAAATTTAAAAATTAGCCGGGTGTGGTGGCGCATGCTTGTAGCCCCAGCTACTCAAAAGGCTAGGGTGGGGGGATTGCTTGAGCCCAGGTGTTTGAGGCTGCAGTGAGCCATGATTTTGCTGCTGCACTCTAGCCTAGTGGACATAGCAAGACCCCATCTCAAAAAATTAAAACCCTCAGCTGCAAAGCTTAAATGTATGCCCCTCCCTCCTTCCACCAGGCCTCACCCCCTTGCCTGGCTACCTCCCCGAAACACTCTATCTACTGTTATTCACCCTCTGAGGCCCCTCCTGGCACCAAGCCCGCTTCCCCCCATCACCACATCCGTCCCCCTGGGCTGGAGTCCAATGCCTTCCCCACCAGCTGCCTTTGACCGCCAGTGACCCTGGCAGCTAGTGGGGAGGGTGGCCTCGGCCCAGCCTCAAACTCTAGGTTGGCTGGCCTTGTGCCCCCACAACCACGTGTCAGCCTGGCGGTAGGGGGATGGTTGTGAAAGGGACGCATAGACAAGACCCTGGCAGAATTGCAACATCTCTCTGGCCAGCTCAGAGCTTCCAGTCCCTGTCAGCCCCAGAGGGCCCCCTACTTCCCCAACTGAGCCCAGCAGTCCCCAGACATCCACCCAGATGTCTGCTTCCCTGACCCCACAAGAATAGAATAGCAGTGCTCCTGCTTTCCCACCTCCTGACCCCACAAGAATAGAACTGCAAAGCTCCTGCCTTTCATCCTCCCACCCTCTGCTATAGGGGTTTCTGTTTTATACATGGGGAAACTGACACACAATGAAGAACATCCAGTAGGGCTCAGCGAGGGACAAAGAGGGAGCTGTTGGCCGGGCGCGGTGGCTCACGTCTGTAATCCCACAACTTTGGGAGGCTGAGGTGGGCGGATCACTTGAGGTCAGGAGTTTGAAACCAGCCTGGCCAACATGGTGAAACTTCGTCTCTACCAAAAAATTCAAAAATTAGCTGGGCATGGTGGCACAAGCTTGTAGTCCCAGATACTCGGGAGGCTGAGGCAGGAGAATCGCTTGAACCTGGGAGGTGGAGGTTGCGGGGAGCCGAGATTGCGCCACTGCACTCCAGCCTGGGTGACAGAGTGAGACTCAGTCTCAAAAAATAAATAAATAAAATAAAATAAAGAAATATAAAGAGGGAGCTCTTTGTCCGTCTCCTTCCAGGATCCAGGCTCCTGTCCCGTAGGACTCCCTGCCGGCCTTTGTTCTGGGACCTCCTTCCCATCCTTGTCCCACCTCCAGATCTGACCACGGATATGGTGACATAGGGCGCCCTGTCTGCTTAGAAGTCTTCATAGGTCGGCTGGGTGCAATGGCTCACATCTGTAATCTCACCACTTTGGGAAGCTGAGGCAAGAGGATCTGCTTGATCCCAGGAGTTTGAAATCAGCCCGGACAACTTAGTAAGACCCTATCTCTACAAAAAATTTTAAAATGTGGCTGGGTGCGGTGGCTCACGCCTGTAATCCCAACACTTTGGTAGGCCGAGGTGGGAGGATCACCTGAGGTCGGGAGTTGGAGACCAGGCTGACCAATATGATGAAACCCCCTGTCTGCTAAAAATACAAAAAATTAGCTGGGCATGGTGGCACGTGCCTGTAATTCCAGCTACTTGTGAAGCTGAGGCAGGAGAATCCGCTGAATCCAGGAGATGGAGGTTACAGTCAGGTGAGATTGCGCCATTACACCTCAGCCTGGGAAATGAGCGAAACTCTGTCTCAAAAAAAAAAAAAAAAAATTAGCCAGCATAGTTTTGGGTGCTTGTGGTCCCAGTTACTCGGGAGGTTGAGGCAGGAGGGTCACTTGAGTTGGAGGCTGCACTGATCTGTGAGCACCCTACTGCCCTCCAGCCTGGACGACAGAGTAAGGCACTGTCTCAGAAAAAATTACTTACACGTGAGAACTCAAGGGTCAACTCTTCAAGTGGGAGATGTGGCTGATGCTGCTCCCCTCGTTGACATCTGGGGAAACGGAGGTTCTGAGAGAGTGCTGCCCCAGCCCCTGGACATACAGTGAATCAGCAGCAGGCCCAGCAGACCAGGCCCCCTGCCTGTGAGCACACTGACCCTTCCCCTCCTCACTCAGCCCTGGTGAGTCATCTCTGGCGGAGGGGAGCTGCCTCCACGGGGGGTGATCGGAGCAGCGCCAGGGAAAGCACCGAGTCTGGGGTGTGCAAGACGGGCAGAGGAACATGCAGATGTTGCAGCTGGCCCACGAGATACAAGCTCAAGTCCTGGCCTGTCCCCCGTTGGTGGGAACCCTGCTCCCCATCTCTGAGAACTGAGGGGGTGGGAAGGAAGGATAGTGCTGGCGGCTCCTAGGCTTTCATCCAAGCTTCCCCTCTCTGAGCGCCAACTCTCGCTCTTTTTTTTTTCGAGACAAAGTTTCGCTCTTGTCCCCCAGGCTGGAGTGCAGTGGCGCGATCTCGGCTCACTGCAACCTCTGCCTCCTGTGTTCAAGTGATTCTCCTGCCAAAGCCTCCTGAGTAGCTGGGATTACAGGCACTCACCACCATGCCCGGCTAATTTTTGTATTTTTGGTAGAGACAGGGTTTCACCATGTTGACCAGACTGGTCTCCAATTCCTGACCTCAGGTGATCTGCTCTGAGCGGATCTCATCTCAGCATGAGACCTGGTGCAGCCTTCCATAGAAGGAGCTGCTCCCTTCTCTTCCTAGCCTGGACTCAGCACCCAGTAGGCTTGTTGGGAGACACGAAGGGTAGACATCACAGCTGGAGGAAAGGATGGAGAATGAGGGATAGGCTGGGTGGGGTGGCTCATGCCTGTGATCCCAGCACTTTGGGAGGCTGAGGCAGGCAGATCACTTGAGATCAGGAGGTTGAGACTTGCCTGGTCAACTTGTTGAAACCCCATCTCTACCAAAAATACAAAAATTAGCAGGGTGTGGTGGTGCATGCCTGAAATCCCAGCTACTCCGGAGGCTGAAGCAGGAGAAATCGCTTGAATCTGGGAAGAGGAGGTTGCAGTGAGCCAAAATCGCACCACGGCACTCCAGGCTGGGCAACAGAGTGCGACCCTGTCAAAAAAAAAAAAAAAAATGGAAAGAAAATGAGGGTTGGGGCAGGGATGCCCAGTTCCTAGTGGGTGAAGGGACAGCTAGCTAGAAGGGAACTGGAGAAGCAAGGGGCTCAAATAAAATCTAGTGGCAGAGGAACAAACCCAGATGAAGAAGGGAGGGGGGAAAGAAAGCAGGCCTGGGAGAGAGAAACTGTAGGAGGGAGAGATAAAAGAGAGGTGGAGGAAAACAGGAAGCCAGAAAATGACATCTCCTAAGGAGAGCATGGAGAGACATGGGGCGGGGGGAGGAAGGGGGTGAGGAGGGGGAGGGGGAGGAAGGGGGTGAGGAGGGGGAGGGGGAGGAGACTGGGAAGGAGGCAGAAATCAGATAAGACTGGAGGAGAGAAGGAGGGAGAATAAAGACAGCAGAACAAAATAAAAATGGCTTCAGAATAAAGGCACCAGTCTCAGCTCACTTGGGGTTGCAACTCTGAGGAACCAGTGTTATTAAGATGGGCAGGCCCGCACAGCAACTCACTCCTGGAATCCCAGCACTTGGGAGGCCGATGGGGGAGGGTCGGTTGAGCCCAGAAGTTGGAGACCAGCCTGAGCAATATAGTAAGACCTCTCATGTCTACAAAGAGTAAAAGTAAATAGGCGGGTGTGGTGGTGCTAGCCAGTAGTCCCAGCTCCTCAGGAGGCCAAGGTGGGAGCAACGTTTAAGCCCAGGAGTTCCACATGAGCCTGCACAACAAAGCCAGACCCCATCTACACCCACACACACACACCCCACACAAATTAATCCTGGTGGTTGGGCGCCTGTAGTCTCAGCTACTGGAGAGGCTGAGGCAGGAGGATCATTTGAGTCCAGGAGGTGGAGGCTGCAGTGAGCTGTGATCAAGGGTAACAGAGTGAGACCTTGTTTCGGAA